GATATCAGCAAGTTGCAGGGGCGGTGGGGTAGCCTAATGGTTAAAGCGTTGGCTCGTCACGCCGAAGACCCGGGTTCGAATCCCCACATGGGTACAATGTGTGAAGCCCATTTCTGGTGTGCCCCGCCATGATGTTGCTGGAATATTGCTAAAAGCGGCGTAAAACCATACTCAGTCAGTCAGCAAGTTGCAACCATGTCTGTGTTGAATGTGCTAATTGACATGATGTTGTTGATGATGTAAACATTTATAATAAACAATAGTCTAATGAGGTTGTCAAGGCAACTGAACTGCATTACTTTGATAAACATAAAGAAAATGATAATGTGATAATCATCAGACATTAGCCATGTTAGGTTCAGGTTTATTGAAAATTTGTGTGGATGGAAAAGATTATAAGCTGGTTTCATACACTACCACAAATATCTGTCTATACTGATAATGTTGAAAAATTTGTATTATTTTTCTTGTTGTAAATTGGTCTATGATATATTGGATAGTATTGTTGTTGCTATATGATAAACCAGGCCAATAAACTATATTAATCCTGTAAATTAGGATTGCATTGCAGGAATTACTGCTATACTATTATGCCTTGCATCAACACAATGTCTACTTCCTTTTGTCCTACCTTGCTAGTGAGTTAGGGTTGTTTTATCTGAATTTATTGGTGTTTCTGTAAACAAATATAGCTCCAGTCATTTGGCACTCTGTAAGTGAAGTGGGCCAATCCACTGTAGTAATTCATATTCAGTTTCTAGTGATCAGTGGGTGTGATCATGTTTTAATATCAATAATGCTTGTTTAACACTGACAATAGCTCACAGAGATTATTCCTCTTGCATGTTTCAGTAAAAAAATATCAGTTATTATGATGTCAAGAATAAGAGTGAGTGAGTTAGTTAGGTTTACGTTGCCTTTAGCAATATTCCAGCGATACCATGGCACGGGACACCAGAAATGGGCTTCACACATTGTGACCATTTGGGGAATTGAACCCGGATCTTCGGCATTACGAGCAAACACTTTAACCACTAAATTACCCCACCATCCCTAGGAATATGTATTTACATGCTCATTATTGAAGGCTCACATAATGTAGTTTCTATTCTTTCTATTCCTTGTATCATGTGGGACGGTGGGGTAGCCTAATGGTTAAAGCGTTCGCTGGTCACCCCGAAGACCCGGGTTCGAATCCCCACATGGGTACATTGTGTGAAGCTCATTTCTGGTGTCCCCAGCCGTGATCTGATATTGCTGGAATATTGCTAAAAGCGGCGTAAAACCAAACTCACTCACTCACTCACTCCTTGTATCATGTGCATAATCCAGATATGGAAACACATGCTTCTAATCGTGCTTATGATAATCTCAATACCAAATCATTGCTACTTGATATACTGGTAGATGTTTCTAAGTGTTACTGCATGTTTAACTGTTAAAAATGTACAATGAAGAGTTGTCCACCCGGTACGTAGACAAACCAAACTTCATATGTTGCACCAGGTAGACAGGTTGCTGTGGTGATGTTGTGGCGACTAATTAGCCTCGTTAAGGTATAGCCTTTGATCCAAAGTTTTATCATCTTTTTTGTGTATTTAGTTTACACATGCAGTTGAGATTAGAGGAATTTAAGAAGTAATCTTTGCCTTGTTAGTTTTGATTGTTAAAACAGAAATAGGAATAAAAGATCTTAAAATGACACTGTGTCAAGCTAGTTAAGCTAGAGTCGATATCACATGACTATATTACTTTATTAGTGTAGTGCGAAATGAATTAAGACAATTTAACACGCAGATCACATTACACTAACTAGTGTTCGTATTTACTGGTAATTAACAATTTTCACCAGTAAATTGTGTAACTGTCAGTCCCAGGGATTGGCAGGAAACGTCTCTTGCAAATATAAATATGTGTGAACTGACATTAAAAAAGTATTAAAAAATATTCAGCGTGCTAATGATGTTTGCTTGTGACCTGTCATGTGACACTGTGGGGCTTTCCTGGTCTATATTTAGCCTGGATCCAAAGCATACATCGAAAACAAAAAAAATTATGTACATTTGGTTAGTCTGATTTCAATGGCTATTAGTATTACACAAAGAAAAATCTGAATGCAAACCTGAATCAAATTGTACTCAGGACTATCAAAAGTTTTGAGGGTTTGGTAATTTTTGTCACCAGTCCTTGGGAATAGTCGTTTCAAAAACTTGCGGGAGCACTGTCAGACAAGTAAGATTCTTTATGGATAACAACTTCTTTTATTATATATGATGCGACGTTTCGGTATGGATTCTTATACCATTGTCAAGCAGAATGTGTGCTCCAGCTATCATTGCTAATTATTCTCATCAGCCATGTATATTTTGTTTCTGCCTCTAGGACCATTGGCTTCCTCCTATCGACACTACATTATTACCACCGTGCCTTGTTGTTGTTGTTAATCCCCTTGATTCACTCCTACATGTTGTTATTACTTAATCCCTGTTCATGTATATAAGTCTGTTCTGTGCTGTAGTACTTCACTTTTGCTTGACAACGGTATAAGAATCGATACCAAAACGTCGCATCATATATAATATAAGAAGTTGTTAGCCATAAACAATCTTACTTTCTTATTAGTCACCAACTTCTAAATGCCAATCAAACAGACTGTCAGACAGACTTTTCTTACTCTGATAAAAATTACTCAACATATAATAACATTCAGATCATTGAATGTAATTTAAATGTAGCCAGCTTGGAATAGTCCTGCATTTATTCCAGGTCAGAATTTGTCCCTGTGATATATGTCATGATCATGAAGATAAACAGGAGTTTTAAAATCTGCTCATTGAGCGAAAAGCATTGAACATTAATTGAAAAGATGAGTGGTGGAGTAGCCTAGTGGGTAAAGTGTTCATCACACCTAAGGTGTGGTTTCTATTCCTGACATGGTACAGTTTGTAAAGCCTGTTTCTGGTTTCCCCGGCCATGATATTGTAAGGTTTAAAACAAACCTTTGTTGTTTAATGCCACAATCGGCAATATTCCAGCTACATGGTGACAGTCTGGAAATTATCAGTCTGGGTGCCGTTGTCCAAACAACCTTAGCACTAAGGCTTAGTAACCTTAAGTCTATGTTAAGGTATGGGAGATCAACACTTTATCAAGATCATTTCTCTGCACCCTGGGCCATACAATCTGATGATCAACATCATGATCATCAATCACTGCAACTGGGATATGATAACATGCCTCAACCTAGTCAGCGAGCCTGACGGTGACAGGCCGGGAAAGCCACATTTCAAATATGACTATTGCCGGGAAAGCCACATTTCAATTACATGTCTGTAGCCAGTAAATCCACATTCCAATAGATTCATTAATTAATGGATTACCGTAACCGGTAAAAGAGTGTCCCCATGTATTATATTGTGTGCAGGCCTGTAAAGGACATAGGATGTATTTACGGCCAATTTATGGAGGCTGGACAATGTATTGTGTTTGAGTTCTTACTTCATTAGAAAGTTTAATGCATTTACTAGCTAAGTTTTGCAAGGCAGATTTATTGGAATATCTAAACAGTGACATAAACTTGGTCTAACCCAATAGAAGCTTTTAATATATAACTTTCTAAACTGTGAATATTTAGGACAAATCAAAATAAAATGATACTCATCTTCAACAAAGATTTTACCCTGGCTATTGCAATAATCACAAATACAATCTTCCCCTGGAATATTACTGTATCTACCAATTTCTATCATAATGCAATGAGTAGATGTTCGCATTTGCGTGATTATTTTCCTATCACTAGGATTTCTAACTAGATCCAAATACAATTCAAAACAAACCAATTTCTTTTACATTTTTGTAAAGAAATAATTTACCATTTAACTCTAAGTCAGATCTCTATTTCTGAATATAGATATCAATGAGACGTTGCTTAACAACTTTACAAAAATTATTAACATTTACAATTAGAAATTCCCATAACCAATTTCATACAAAAACATTTTAACACTACGTAACCATGATTTATAACCATTATTTAGACCTTTTAAACAAAAACCATAAACAACCCGCTATATACAGTTTTCACTGTAGAATAACTTAAACCAACAACGTAACCAGGGGTGGAAATAACCCATTGCCCGACGTTCGAGTCCAGTGTTTTTCTGTCGGGCAAGCACATTTGTATATCACGATGTACCGGTGTCCAGTTGACATTCCAATGTTAATTATGTTGTTTGTTCAAAAAATCAGCAAGAAAATCGTCCGGTAGAGCGGAAAAATTATCAGGGCAAGTGATTTTACATGTGCCACTGTACCGGAATACACTAGCAATTTTAAAGTTATTTCCACACCTGTAACACACGGACATACCTATTTATATAAAGGGTACTTACCAAATTTGCCGTACACAGAAACTGTAGATGATTTGGCATTGATCTGCAAAATACGCCTGCAAAATTTTAAATGTATTCTTTGAAATTCAGAACATTTTACAGATTAATTTTTTTTATTATTATTATGTGATATTATTATTATATATAATATACCTATTAATATATTATATTGTGCTAATTATAGAAATAAAACCTGTTGTGATCTGAATAAAATTATGAGGAAACATGTCTTGTTTTGTTAAATACGGTAACGTGTTTGAATCACTAAGCATGTTTTGACAGCATAGCCAGGAGAGCCACATTCCATGTTCACGCAACCATAACTATTGCCGGGAGAGCCACATCAAGCCTGGCTGTCTGTTTCGGAAATGTGGCTCTCCCGGCCTGTAACCAGCCTGACTACCTGATCCCCGTTAGTCACCTCTTACCACAATTCCAATTCTAACTCTGATCTTCACAGATGTGATATTGTAAGGAGACATAGTATTGCTAAGGCTGCTTAAAACCATGCTCTCTCACTCCTATAGAAACCACCATTTTTTTTGTTCTTGAAATGGTGGAAGAATTCACCCAGAATTACTTGTTCTATAGAATTTGATTTCTTTTTAGTTCACAGAAGAAAAACTTGGATCAGCAGAGAAGACAGAACTTGATGCACACTTCGAGAACCTCCTCCAGAGGTCAGACAAAACAAGAATATGGACAGAGAGAGTCCTCAAGGGCACAGAATGTGTCATACAACCAAACCCAAGTAAGTGTTTCTGTTTAGTCAATTGTTTCGAATTATCCAGCATTTAAAGTGTGTGATCGGTGTTCAGAAGACATCAGTCAGTGCCAAAATCTTAGACTACAGTCGAAGATGGTTTCTGCATAATTTGCATAATTAGGATAGTTTTTAATTGTATCCTGCCTCATAGTCTGAGCGGAATTCCACTGAACTCAGGTCTTTAAATTGTGGTGTTTAGAGGATTGTCGTGTTTAGAGGATTGTGATGTTGATGGGGTTGTGATATTGATGGGGGTGTGATGTTGATGGGGTTGTGGTGTTGATGGGGTTGTGATGTTGATGGGGTTGTGATGATGATGGAGTTGTGATATGGATGGGGGTGTGATGTTGAGAGGGTTGTGGTGTTAAAAGGATTGTGAGAAGATTGTGGTGTTGAGAGGGTTGTGATGTTTATGGGGTTGTGATATTGAGAGTGTGTTGTGATGTTGAGAGGTTGTGATGTTGAGAGGTTGTGATGTTAAGAGGCTGTGATGTTGAGAGGTTGGGAGGTTGTGATGTTGAGAGGTTTGTGATGTTGAAGAGGTTTGTGATGTTAAGAGGTGTGAGAGGTACAGTGTGATGTTGAGAGGTTGTGATGTTGAGGAGCTTGTGATGTTGAGAGGTTGTGATGTTGAGGGGTTGTGATGTGTGAGGTGTTGTGAGGTTTGTGATGAGGAGGGTGATTGTGATGATGAGGGAGTTGTGATGTTGAGGAGTTGTGATGTTGAGGAGGTGATGTTGTGATGTTGGGAGGTTGTGATGTTGAGAGGATTGTGATGTTGAGAGGGTTGTGATGTTGAGGGGTTGTGATGTTGAGAGGTTGTGATGTTGAGAGTGATTGTGATGTTGAGGGGTGATGTTGGGAGGTTGTGATGTTGAGAGTGTTGTGATGTTGAGGGGGTTGTGATGTTGAGAGGTTGTGATGTTGAGGTTGTGATGTTGGGAGGTTGTGATGTTGAGAGGGTTGTGATGTTGAGAGGGTTGTGATGTTGAGAGGTTGTGATGTTGAGGGTGTTGTGATGTGTTGAGAGGTTGTGATGTTGAGGGTGTTGTGATGTTGAGAGGGTTGTGATGTTGAGAGGGTTGTGATGTTTAGGGGGTTGTGATGTTGAGAGGTTGTGATGTTGAGAGGGTTGTGATGTTGAGAGTGTTGTGATGTTCGGACGTTTGTGATGTTGCAGATCAGAGGATGGAGGACATGATGTATGAGAAGCTGGAGAAGAAGAAGAAGGACAGGATGACGTCAAGCGAGTCACTTGGCCAGCACATGGTGGACGCCGGCAACGACTTCGGCCCAGGAACATCTTATGGTGAGTTCACCTGTCACATGAATGTATTGGGGATAGCTTGTGTAGGAAGGGAATATTTTCGAAGACAAGGGCACAAGAAAGTCATTGCATGAGCAAGGGAGGAAGTTTACAGGAACTGCCTAACACAGAACATTTCTGTTGTATCTTTACATGAACACAGAATCATAGTACAGTATATCTTGAGCACATTCCTTCAGTGGTTTGTGCAGTTGTTTCCTTTGGAGGTCAGCCCGCTACACAAGCTGCAGCTGTGACGACATGGACAGCTGTGACTACATGGACGTCAGCAATCTACAATAGCTGCAGTATAGGAAAGACACTTTCTGTATCGTGAACAGCGTATCACATAGTGTTATGCTTGGCCAATCAGTCAAAGTGGTGTGTTTGTGTGGTGTTTTGAAGTGATTTTGTGCTAGAATTCAACCTGTTTAATACAGCAGAAAGATTAGGGGTGGGTATTGCAGAGAATTTTCATATTGCGATGTATTGCGATGCGAAAGCATGTATTGTGATATGTATTGCAATATATTGCATGAAGTATTTTTAAACAAAAAACTACTTATAATCGAGGTAATGCTTGATTTATAGAGCAAATACACAGCAAAATAACTATGCTTGATTAAGCTTTAATAACAACTTTTATTCATGATTAACAATAAAAATGTGAGTAATATTTGGCACAAATGAAAAAAGGAAATATCCGAAGATTTCCGAGTGGTACGAAGTTTTCCGAATGCAAGTCAAAATACCGGTTTTCGATCAGCGTATCGCAATACGTATCGTTTTTATGTCTGAACCGGTAAATACTGGTAAACCGGTTATATTGCGCAGCCCTAATAAACATTGACTATAGTGTCTTCACCTTGAAAGGCTGTGTTCAGCACCGCCTATCACTTGTTGAGTGGGCTAAAATGGACTGCTTCCATTTTAGTTATTTGCTATGTTCACACATGTGTAATTATCAGTGATCATGGCTCAGATAGCTACTGAAGGTGTTACGATTTACACATCCAGTGAAGTGATCATTATCAACTCTTGAAGTGTTTTTTTTATTCTAAACCACATATTTTCCATTATGTATGTGTTTTGCAATGTTGGTCTTATGAAATACAAAGCTCTTCACCATTTGGGTGGTGGGATAGCATAGTGGTTAAAGTGTTCGTTTGTAAACACTGAAGACCTGGGTTCGATTCGCCTCATGGGGACAATAGGTGAAACCATTTCTGGTGTCCCCTGACGTGATATTGCTGGAATATTGCTAAAAGTGGTTTAAAACTAAACTCACTCACTGTTCACCATTTGAGATCAGCCAGCATTGAATGACCCAGGTTTCCCAAGGATATGATAGATAAATAACAACAGATTGACCATATTTTTCTGGTGGTCTTGCACAATGGAATACTGGTATATCCAAGTTAGGCAATATAATAATAGTCATCATTTATGTATTACATTTGACAGTAATGTGGTCACTGGTCACTGGTCATTGTCTTAGTAAAATCAAAACCGTCAACAGGGTCAAGACATGTCAAAGAATTTATTTGGTTATTGTTTCACTGAAAACAATCAATGTATTCGTTACCAATACTCATATCCATTACCCAGGTATGTTGTGAAAAAATTGCCATGATAACAGGAAGTATTAACTTTTTGTGTTTCGTCTTGCGTAGATTGTTAATCGGATGTGATGTTTGGTGAAATGATCAAGTTTCTGTGAAAAAAACATCATTGGGGTTTCACAAGTGTATCTTTTTATCTCAGATTAGCTGACATGAGTCATGTTGTTAATGATTGATGATAGAGTACAACTAGTAATGGATTCAGTTGACGTTGGTATCTTGTTGCACAATTAGTCTATCAGTAAAAAGGAGAGGCAATTTTGGCCATTATGTATTTTGTTTGAAAACAGATTTTCAAATGTTAGTCGATGGAAGAAAGATTAAGACATGCTGGTTAGAAAACTATGCCGCATAGATCACCTGTTTTCATACTAGTAATAGCTGTGTCGTAGCAACTGTTTGACATGGAGCAACTATTGGCAGCAAGGCCTCAGCTTTTCTGTGAAGTCTAAAGGGTTTAGGTACAGCAAAATCTGCTTTAAAAAAACATAGAGAGAACCCTAAGATTTATTATTGTAGTAAGCAGTCAATTGATTTGGCAAAATATGAATGTCAGATTCAACATCATATAAGTGGTGTTGATGAATTTTAAAAATGGCTTACCGGTAATCACAAAATATGTCCGGAGGTTAATGTATGTATGTTATTTTTCCTTTATTGACAATGAAGTCGTGATCTGTTATGTGACAAAATTATAATTTGCCTCAGTTACAGTTTCGATCATACCTGTAAATGTTGTTCCTAAAGCACTGACCATGCGTTATTGACAACTTCTCCAGTTGATGTATGGACGAAAAATGTCAGGCTGCCCATAGTCTGAAATGTGGAATTATCAATAGCCCTTTCCCCTGTATGGCATGACAGTGTAACTGCAGACCACCTGTTCCAGGTGTACAGCTGAGGCTGGACAGGTAATCAATACTGGCATCACGACGGACTGGCTGCCAGCTCATGACATCACAGCTGTCATGCTGAGTAGCTTCTCATGACGCTTCAGTTAACATGTGTCTGGCATGACTGACTGTTTCCATGACCACATCCATCATCATACAGGGCAGGAAATGGCAATGCCCAGCTAAGAAAGTGTAATCCCAGACTTATTACATGTTAAAACAAGTTTAAGCTCATGAAAATTTTGTGGGGTGTTTTTTTTTAACTCACTTTGTTTCTCTCACACTTTTTGCTCATTTGCTCACTCACTCACTCCTTTGCTAACTCACTCACTCCTTTGCTCACTCACTCACTCCTTTGCTCACTCACTCACTCCTTTGCTCGCTCACTCACGCCTTTGTTCACTCACTCACTCCTTTGCTCGCTCACTCAATCCTTTGCTCACTCCTTTTCTCACTCACTCCTTTGCTCACTCACTCAATCCTTTGCTCACTCCTTTTCTCACTCACTCACTCCTTTGCTCACTCACTCACTCCTTTGCTCTCACTCTCTCCTTTGCTCACTTCTTTGCTCACTCACTCCTTTGCTCACTTTGCTCACTCACTCACTCCTTTGCTCACTTCTTTGCTCACTCACTCACTCCTTTGCTCACTTCTTTGCTCACTCACTCACTCCTTTGCTCACTCCTTTTCTCACTCACTCACTCCTTTGCTCACTCCTTTTCTCACTCACTCACTCCTTTGCTCACTCACTCACTCCTTTGCTCACTCCTTTTCTCACTCACTCAATCCTTTGCTCACTCCTTTTCTCACTCACTCACTCCTTTGCTCACCTCCTCACCACTCCTTGCTCTCCTCTCCTCTCTCCTTTGCTCACTTCTTTGCTCACTCACACCTTTGCTCACTTCTTTGCTCACCCTTGCAACACCTCACCCTTGCTCACTCCACTCACCCTTTGCTCACCTTCTTTGCTCACTCACTCCTCACCCTTTGCTCACTTCTTTGCTCACTCACTCAATCCCTTTGCTCCTCCTTTTCTCTCACTCACTCTTTGCTCACTCACTCACTCCTTTGCTGCTCACTCTCCTTTGCTCACTTCTTTTGCTCACTCACCCTTTGCTCACTTCTTTGCTCACTCTCACTCCCTTTGCTCACTTCTTTGCTCACTCACCTCCTTTGCTCACTTCTTTTTGCTCACTCACCACTCCTTTGCTCACTCACTCACTCCTTTGCTCACTTCTTTGCTCACTCACTCTCACCCTTTGCTCACTCACTCACCACTTCTTCACCTTTTTGCTCACCCTTTGCTCACTCTTTGCTCACTTTGCTCACTCACCCTTGCTCACTCACTCACCCTTTGCTCACTGCTCACTCCTTTGCTTGCTCACTCACCCTTTGCTCACTCATTTGCTTGCTCACTCACTTTGCTTGCTCACTGCCCTTTGCTCACTCACTTTGCACTCACTCCTTTGCTCACTCACTCACCCTTTGCTCACTCACTCACTCCTTTGCTTGCTCACTCACTTCTTTGCTCACTCCTTTTGCTTGCTCACTCCTTTCGCCCTTTGCTTGCTCACTCACTCCCTTTGCTTGCTCACTCATTCCTTTGCTCACTAACTCACTCCTTTGCTCACTCCTTTTTCGCTCACTCATTCCTTTGCTCACTCATTCCTTTGCTCTTCACCCACTCCTTTGCTCACTCACCCTTTGCTTACTCATTCCTTTGCTCACTCATTCCTTTGCTCGGGCTCACTCATTCCTTTGCTCACTCACTCACTCCTTGCTGCTCACTCATTCCTTTGCTCACTCATTCCTTTGCTCAAGCTCACTCACTCCTTTGCTCACTCCCTTTGCTTTGCTCACTCACCTTTGCTCACTCACCCTTTGCTCACTCACTTGCTCTTTTGCTTGCTCACTCATTCCTTTGCTTGCTCACTCCTTTGCTCGAACATTTGCTTACTCACTCCTTTGCTCGTTCACTCACGCCTTTGTTCACTCACTCATTCCTTTGCTCGCTCACTCACTCCTTTGCTCACTGCTTTGCTTGCTCACTCACTCCTTTACTCACTCCTTTGCTCACTCACTTGCTCTTTTGCTTGCTCACTCATTCCTTTGCTTGCTCACTCCTTTGCTCTCTTACTCACTCCTTTGCTCACTCACTCACTCCTATGCTCGCTTACTCACTCCTTTGCTTGCTCACTCACACGTTTGAATGCTTGCTCACTCACTCCATTGCTTGCTCACTCTCTTTCTCTTTCTCTCATTCACTCACTCACCCAACCCCACCACTCACTCACTCACATGTCAAGATGACTTCCAGTGTACATGCTACAGCATTATGACCTGGATCTGTGCATGTTAAACCAACATAGCCCGACACTATGCCAACATTATCTGCAGTTATACTTGGGTTTGCTCAGCCTGTATATGTCATAGCTCTCTCAATATGTCCTATGTAATTGGCATGTCTCATTTGACATGCCATTGTTGG